GCCCCCTGGGCTAAAAGTTGCCAGTCAGCCCCTGGGTGTGACTCTGCCACAGAGTGGGACAGCCAATAGGGCAACATTAGGAGTGTCTATGCCTCACCAGCCAATCAATAGGGGTTTCATGCATGCTGGGGAAGTGCATAAATACTCAGGAATTGCCATGTGCTAAAGTCAGTCCGCCCCTGGGCTTAGCCTGGGGGTGGGATGTACAAGGTTGGAGAAGCTGACCTCAAGCCTGGAGGTGGCCACCTGTGGAACCAGGTGGGGTCAGGAATTATGGGCCTTAGGAACAAGTCTGGTGCCTCTCCCAGGGAAGATATCATGCATATCCCCTATTCAGCTGTTGTTCTTCTACACTGTGCAACTGAAGTATTCCTGCACTGTGGAAACTGGAAGGCATTGGTGAGTATTTTTTCCTATGGATGTCTGAAGCCCTATACTCTCTTTCCCAGTATGGCTGTTCTTTAATAAAGCATCTAAATGTCTTTAAAGTGACTGGCACCCAATTTACTGTTCACATCCCACAAATCAGCTAAGGATTCATTATTTTTTATTCAGAAATTCGGATGTATCTGGATTTCTGAATATGCATAAGTTCATCTGAATTTCAATTTGGAGCAAAACGAATCTTACATGTGTAATTGCAGAGATGTACTGAATATTTAATTTTTATTTTAGTCAGACATACACTTGAAGCACCACAGAGACACACCAAAAAAGCAGTGTGTAAAGTTTGCAAAATAAAAACCAAATTTACCCAAAAGTCACATTTTGTTTTAGAAGGGGGATATTACTTGATATATTGCAGAGTGTACTTAATACTCTAGTGAAATCTCTCCTCATCTAAAAAAATTAAAGCTAGATATTTATACCCAGATGCCTTGGAACATCCACAGAAAAAGAGCTATATGGATTTTCTGTCGGTTCCATGTACAAGATCACATGTGCAAAGAAATGTAATGTTTGTCTGGTAATAGAATGACAGATTGTGTTACCTGTATTAGAGGTTTCATGATTATATGTGCTTTCCTCCTCAGATGGTGTCTGCACATAGTAGATCTGATCTGGAATCATGCTTGCAACCTTGTCTTTTATACTGCTGGATCCAAGCCCACAGCGCATAACCTTTTCTCTTCTTTCATGGGCCATTATCTTTCTCGTCCTTGCCTTGATATTCTCCCAGCATTTTTTCAGTTGTTTGAAATCCCTCAAAGACACACTAGGCTGTGAATTGTACTCATGGGCTAGTGCTTGCCAGGTGCGCTGCTTTAGAGCAATAGTACGTGCATCACTTTTCTTACACTCCAGGACATATTTGTACTTTTCTACCAGAGCCAGCAAGACATTCTTCTCCAACTCAGAAAAGTACTTAGCTGGTTTCAACACTTCGTTGTTTTGCATTTTCCTTGGCAAGGTAAACATCTAAGAAAAAAAAAAAAAAATCATGTAGGCATGAAACACACCATTTCTACAAAGTAATTTCATGATCTCTGAATGCATTGGAGGAAGTGTAAAATATATTGTTTGATGCAATACAACAGAAAAAAAAGCAATGTGCAAGCAGTATGGGCACAGCAATAAATGCATCCTACACATTCCTTTTCTACTACTGTAGATTTTAAGCACAGCAAACTAAATATGGTAATAACTTTTTTTCAAAAACATTTTTATTGAGTAGGAAGAACAACAAAACATGTCATCTTAAAGCAGAACTCTGGGGGAAAAATGCTTAACCCTTACTGTTAGGCTAACCCCACATTGCAAGGGTTAAGTGCTCGTTTGTGTCTAGGTTAAAAAAAGTTATACCCACCTGATCTTCGTAGCCGGCTGGCTCTTAGACCAGTCCCTGGAGCCTCTCTCCCCTCTGCTGCAGCGGTCTTAGGATCCTCGAGTCATCACATCCTATACAGACCAGCTGGAGGGAGCACTGTCACAGCCGACCTGATCCGAGATTTAAGTCAGTATAACTTTTTTTTAACCTAGACACAAATGAGCACTTACTGTAACTCTTGCAGTGTAGGGGTTAAGAATTTTCTTTCCCGGGTGTTCTGCTTTAAATGCATAATAAGCAAAGTGTCTACAAAAAGATGACACATTACAATGGTAATGATAGTTTACAGTAAATGGCATTTGCACAATGCAAAATTACCATCACATTATTTTAAAAGTCCAAATTAAAGATTAAATATAAAAAAGTGGTCCCTGGCTGATGCATCAAGGGATAGCAAATCCTCCAGGCGGCCTGTCTGTTTCCTCAGGATAAGTTATGGTGTGTTTTCCTAGGAACCCACGAGTCCATAAATTAGCAATATTGTGCCTTATTGTTTTATCTTTTTTTTTTTTTTCTTTTTTTATGTTCATATATTCTTTTTTTTTCTTTTTTTTTTTTTATTGGTTCTTTTAATTTCTTACTGAAACTGTGTTTTCAGTTACTCCCCTTCTTGTTGGGAGCCTTATACGACCCATTCAGAGGGATCCAATACCCACAGATTGGGTGACTAACAGCGGTTCTTACAATGGCAAGAGAGAAAATTGAATTTATTTGACCCCCCATTCTATAGCAGGTATGATGAGGATTTAGAATCGTGTTGCGGGGGGCCTTGGTATTATATTAACACATTAGACAGAGGTAAGCATTCTTGAGCCCTGTTGCTGTTGAAGGTCCATTGATTGTGATATAATGCTTGTTTAGGATACATATATTTTATGTTTATATAAGGATATTGCGGTCTGTGAGTGGAACTGTATAAGTACTGAAAACCAATAAAAACTTTGAAAACAAAAAAGTGGTTCAAAAAAGGGGGCTCGGGCTCAATAAAATTAAGAAATAGTGAGTGGGGCTTTCGGGGGGTGGGGGTGTATCAGGCAGACCGGCATACGGCTCCCACAATCCCCTTATAGCCCAAATTCGTTTTCTATTTTGGTTTATGTAGGATGGGTGAGGAAAAGGTCCCATCCTGTATACAAGAACATAACAATTGCATCCGTGAGGAAGTCGATTGGCGGAAGTTGCTGGAGATTGCGGAAGTTGCTGCAGGTGCAAGCATGCGTGCGGGAGTCGGGAGAAGCGGCGGGCCTGAGCCCTGAGAACGACAGGACAGTGCCAGGGGGGTCATCTGAGCCGGGGGGTATCGGAGCCCTGAGGTTGACGAAAACGGAGGACGGCGGGACGGCAGTCGGCGGGAGACCAGTCTGCGGGACCAGAGTGCAGCGGGACCGGATGGAGGGAAACGGGTTTGACGCCCCTGATAAAACACTTAGTTCATCACAAAACACAGCCAAGTGGTTGACAGAACCCGGGATACAACAAAGACTTAGTCTACTTAATGCAAATAAAGCGTTGGGACCGGATAATCTGCACCACAAGATACTTAAGGAACTAAGTGCGGTTATAACAAGACCATTATTCCTTATTTTTAAGGACGCTCTAATGACTGGTAGAGTCCCGAGTGACTGGCGGAGGGCTACGGTAGTTCCAATTTTCAAAAAGAGGGCAAAATGCCGACCTGGGAATTACAGGCCAGTTAGTCTTACATCGGTAGTGTGTAAACTGCTAGAGGGAATGTAGGGTCTGGAACTCGTTGCCACAAGCAGTGATTTCAGCTAATAGTGTGGAATCATTCAAGAAGCTTTTGGATGATTTCCTGAGAAACGGTAATATACAGGGGTACAAGTACTCCTAATAATGAGATGACTCAGGGACCTATACACACACACACACAATAGGTTGGACTTGATGGACATTTGTCTTTATTCAACCTCAAATACTATGTAACTATGTATAAATGTATTGAGTACAAAAGGGAGTGAAAGATATACATGGGTTAAAAAAGGGATGAGAGGATGGAATATATGGTGGAAATTGTTTTATGGTATAGAGTATATTTCTGAACAGGTTTTATGCATAACTCTCTCTAAAAGATATACAACATGGGTATGGATAGCAACTTACAATGTTAGAGGATTTAATACACCAGAAAAACGTTCACAATTTTTGTATCACTCACATAAAAAAAGGATGGATATCTTGTGTATTCAAGAAACACATTTTAAGAAGGGGCACATACAGAGATTAGGAATAAATATTACACTAAATGGTATCACAGCACAAACCCAGAAATTAAAGCTGAAGGGGGTCTCGATAGGAATCCATAAAAATTTAGCAATTGAAATAATAGACACAGAAATAGATGATTGTGGGAGATTTATTTTTATGAAATTTTTGTATTGTAATCAAATGTACTGGCAAATATTTATGCTCCGAACAAGGGACAACACAAGTTTTGTATAAAGATATTGAATAGATTTGAGATATATGGTATTGGCACAAAATTGGTGATGGGGGATATGAACTTAACTTTTGATACAGAATTAGATACCACAAGTAAGACACCTATCTCGGTAAAGATGCAAAAAAAACCTCAGAACCAAAATGGATAGACTGGGGCTAATTGATGGCTGGCGCATATTATACCCTTTAAAGAGAGATTATACTTATTTTTTTTAGAGTACATAGATCCTACAGTAGAATAGACCATGTTTGGATGCACCAGAGACTCCTAGATCTCAACCCAGAAATTGAAATAGGCCCGATTCAATGGTCCGACCACGCACCAGTAACTTTGACATTTTCAACAGATAACAGAAAGAGTGGGAGGGGAACCTGGAGACTAAATGATAATCTCTTAAAAAACATAGAATGTCAAGAAGAAGTAAAATCCACAATAGTGAACTTTATAAAAGATCATCAAAAAGACCCCACATCTATTCCCATACAATGGGAGGCTTTAAAATGTGTTGTTAGAGGTATTTTAATCAAACATGGCTCCAGATTAAAGAAAGAGAAGGCAAGCAAGCTAAAGGGCTTATTTCAGAGATTGAGTGAGTTGGAGGACCAGAATAAGGTGAATGTCACCAATATAGAGTACTCCACTCAATTGCATGAGGTGAGAAGAGACATTTGCAGTGTTCTGGACCAACAAACACAAATTGCCAGAGATAACAATAAAAAATACAATTATAAACAAGGGGATAAATGTGGAAAGCTGCTAGCCAAGAAAATCCACCCAAGAACGTATAGAACAAATATAACACGAATCAAGGATGTAAATGGGAATATTCAGCACTCCACCTCCTTAATAATAGAAACTTTTAGAAAATATTATGCGTCTCTCTACTCAATACAAGGTAGATACGCAGATATGTCCCCAGATAGATATATAACTAAAATCAGGAGATATATAAAAGAGGCCAATATTCCGGCATTAAGTAAGGAGGATGAAGGAGTGTTGATGCCAGATATTACAAACAGTTTGAGGAACTACTAAGACCCTTCTTCACCAATCCGCTAATACACATCAACATAAACTGGCATTATATACCGATGACTGGGCCAGTATACCTCTGAACAGACCATTCACTCTGTTCGAAAAATTTTGCTTGAGAGACACTAAAATCGAACATGCACTATCACAGGTTTATGGTCTGTTGAGAGAGGTAGAAGCCAAAGGCCATACAAATTATATGAAGAGATGGGAACAGGAGCTGAGGAGGGAGTTCTCAGAGGAAGAATGGGGAAGAATACTTACTTTGACACATAGTTCTCTCAAATCCACATTTTACCAAGAAAAAAACTTTAAAATACTGTCTAGATGGTGTAGATGTCCAGAAGGAATTAAACACATAAACCCGGGAGAGTCAGACAGGTGTTGGAGATGTGGTATCGAGGAGGGAACGTATCTGCATATTTGGTGGAGTTGTCCTAAAATACAGGCCTTCTGGGAGTCAATTTTTGAAATATATCGCTCCACAGGGAATTTTAACCTGGAGAATGATCCCACAATCGCAATGCTATCATTGATTCCCGGCCCCATTAAAAAGATAAAGACAGACATTTTAAGATTTGTATTGTCTGCAGCACGAGTCAGCATATCACGGGGCTGGAAATCAATGATCCCACCGACATTAGAGGGTTGGGAGGCAACGTTGGAAGAAATTAGATATATGGAGGAACTGATCGCAAAGGACAGTGGGAAGGAAGATATATACGAGTTTACATGGGAGAAATGGACAATGTATAGAAAGTCAGAGGTTTTCAGGAAATTGGTGTTGAGAGATAGAGAGGAAAGGAGGAGACATAGAGTTGAAATTCCCTAGAGGCCTTAGAAGTCATACCGGCTAATAAACGTGTGGTTAAAACCCAGAGAGGATTATAGTCATACACAATACTCGGACTAACTGTGCACAGTGGACTTAATATGCACTTGACCTGTGTGTATGGAACATAAGAGAAGAACGGGGATATTGGGTATAGGGGAGTGGAGAATGAGGGTAATTAAATACACAAATTTATAAGAGTATATGGCAAAGGGGGAAACTGTCACTGGTTTTAGTAAATAGAATCTGTAGGTGGAGATATAAT